ATAGTGAGACCATCCTTTGGGCAGTTCCTGCTTCCCTTTCCAAGCTCTGGTGTAGGTGAGTAGGGGTGGGGGCCATGTGTAGGGCTCACCCATGCTTCATCGTCCATGCTTCAACACAGGGTTGCCCAGTTCAAAGGCACGAGCAGTGAAAATTGGGAAGCCAGAGTCCATGTTTGTATCAAGGGGCTGCTTCGGAGCTTCTGGGATTCAGTTTGCTCTAAACCAGGTGAGAAGCCTTCTTGGGACTAGATCCAACCCCTGGCCAGGCCCAGCCCTGCCCCCTGCAAGGAGGTGTAGGCATAGCCTCTCTGAACTCTAGGGGCCATAGAATCACTGATAGGACTGCAGGTTGCAGCCCAGCCTGTCCTGGCCACCATCAGGGGCAAGCAAGTAGTAGCTCTCCTGGAAGTGGAAAGGGTGGCATCTGCCATTCCTTGGTTTTTCTTTCTGCTCTTGGAACACACCCACAACACACTTCTTCCCTCTGAGAGTAGCAGAGGAGTTAATAGACTCTCAAGGTCTGCAGTCAGGTGTCCTTGAACCCATTTTCTTATCAATGTGATGGGGAAGGTGGAAAAGGGCCAAAGGCCTGTCAGAGGTCTGCAGCCCTGCAGGTCTGCCATCTCTGTTAGAGTCTTACCATCGAGTGCTTAATGGGCACCAAGAGCATCAAGGGCTCTGCTTGCTCCAGTGGATGCTGGTCCCTGCTAATGGCCACAGGCCACCATTGCAGTTCACTACAGAAGGGTCTCTGTTCTGGTGTGGCTAACAGTAGCACATGTTCTCTCCGAGGTTTGAATCTGGGCCCATGGTAGGCGTTTGGCACATGGTAGGAGACCCTTTATGATTTTTACCAAGGGGCCATGTGGGCTGGCCACAGCTGTTAGCCCAAGAAATGACCCCGAGTTGATTGCACCTGCCCAGTAGCAGGACATTCCACCAGCAGAACACTTCTCTGCTGCTTCTGGCCCCCAGGGAAGCAGGCTGGAGCCTTGGTTAAGCCTTGGCAGGTGAGAAGGAAGAGGAAAGGTTAGTGCTGCAGCCAGTGGAGTCTGCTGCAGAGAGGCAGTAACTTTCTGGCCTGGTCAGGGAGGCCTTCAGCTCTCCAGCCTTGAATTCTTGTGAGCAGGTAATGGTCTTTTCCCTGGGATACCTTGTTTCCTGGTGCATCTGAGTTACTTTGTTTCCTTGGGCATTTGATTAAATTTTCGAGGATGCTGAGGAAAAGCTGTTTGTTACTTGGTGTGTCTGAACAGCTTCTCTGGAGGTAGAGAGAGACTGTCTCAGAAATATGCAAAGCATAGCCATGCTGTGCTGCCATATTATATTCTGTGTCTTGCATCCATCAGAGCCTGGGATGCCATTTAGGTTATTAGAATTACTGTGTCATAGGTACAGTGTGAGTTCAGATTGCCTGTGGTCTCTGAGGCAGGGAACATGCACCTATGGAGGCTCCTGAGAGGCCACACCCTTGTTGGTGCCCACCCCACCCATCACTTTGCACTTGGTGTGACTCTTGTATGGCCAGGCCATCATAGGGCTGGGGGCATAACATGTAAGGATGTTGAAAATAATCCCCCAAGACCAGTCTCTTCAGGGTTAGGGTGGGCTTGTGGAGCTGGAGAGGGTGGCACTGTAAGATCCTTTACCAAGGAAGGCTGCTTCTGGTAACTAGTGCCCCACTCAGGACTCTTGGTAGCAAGTGACAGGGCCCAACAGGGAGCACATCCACGAGAGGTTACTTTGGGCTCCTTGGTTACAGGCTCTGTTCGGCCTTCCTTAGTGTCTGTTCGCTTGGTGGGCGTGTGGCAGCACAGCAGTCACTCGCCAGCACCCAGCTGTGGTCCAGCACCCTGGGACAGAACCCATGTCATTCCTTGACACTTCAGTAAATGTCTCACAATAGTCCCTTGGCCATGTTGGGGTGTGGCCATCCCAGCCAGGAGGAGATGAAGGCTGATTGGCTGGGTCTGGCACATCTCTCCCCAACCCCTTCCTGGGGCTGAATGAGCAGCTGCTTCAGCCATCTTCCAAGTCCACATACTCCACAGCCTGGAGTGGAGGGGGGCAGAGATGGTAGCCAGTGTGAAGCGTAGGGAAGATGGATTACTTGTGTGTCCTGGGGTCTCTCCCAGGTGGGGGAGGGGACAGATGGGGCAGTTCTGGCAAATCAAGGAACCACTGCTGTGCTCCATACCAAGTGTTGAGGTCGTGTCAGAGAGCACTGCACATGGCCCCCACTTTCCTGGGCCTCTGGTATACTTGAGACAGGACAAAGTAGCGTGTCTGGGATATGTGGGCCTTAGCACCCTCATCTGTGGATTGAGTCTGCTGCCATCATGTAAGATGAACAAGCAAATCAGTGAATAAGCAAAGAGCCATTAAATACTGGCCCAGAGGCAGGCATCACCCACAGGAGGTGGGACCACCCAGAGAAACATCCAAGCAGATGCCTCTGCTGCTCTTAGCACAGAGGTGCCCAGGCTGGTGGCTGGCAGGGAGGGGAGACCTGCTAGTATATGTGCAAGTTGGTGGCATTTGCACCATTGCATGCATTGTTGGCATATGTTTAGCAAGCAAGACACAGGCAGCTGTGGGACCTGGGCTGCCAAGTTATCATTGGCCCCATGGAGGTCACTATTTTGTGCCCTTCTCTGGGCAGCTGTGACTAGACTGAGGGCCTGCCCCATTTTTTGGTGCTTTCTCAGTATTTGAGCCTTGTCTTATGCCCTAACCCCTCCAGAGAGTCTACCTGCTGCCCCACTACCCTGGGAGCTCAGTACCCATTGAAGAGGCAGAGCCTTAGAGCTGAGGATATGAGATCCATGAGGAGAGTTGGAGGGGGTGAGCTATATAGGGGCACTGCCAGGCCAGGAAGTCCAGGGGGCCCCCACCTCCACCCCAGTATGTATTGTGCACACCTGGCTGTTGGGAAGGTAAGGAATCACCCCTTATTGGGAGGCCGGGGCCAGGCCCCGTAGATGACCCATAGAGCCCACATACCTACCCTAGGAGGAGGATTTAGGCCTGGGTGTCTAAAGCCCTAAATCAGAGTCCTTCCTGGCCCTTTGTTCTCCAAGCCCCGTCTTGTTTCCCATGTGGTCTGCAGATCACAGGCCACAGGATGGCCTACCACAACATGGGGGAGGGGATGAAGGACTGGACTGAGCCACTGGGTAAAGGGCCACATTGGAGGCAGTGTCCAGTGATTGAGAGGGTTGGAAGCTGGAGCAAAGATTTACCAGCCACACCAAGGGTTGGGGAAACATGTGCAGGGTCCAGAATTCGGATTGAGAAATCCCCTTGGCCAAGCCTGTCTAACCAGGTCAGTGTGGTCCCTTTGTTTCCATGATGCCCCACCCCAGGGCCAGGCTTGAAGGACATTCTTGGGGAATGATCACCAGTCAGTGAATGAATCATGGAGGCCAGAGTAGAGAAGCCTGAGGTGCAAGAAGAGAGCAGTGCCGGAGCAGGTGGTGGAGCTGAACCTGTGAGCATGGTCTAAGCTAGCACACTCACCCCAGCCTCATACGGGCTGATCTCAGAACTTTGGATGGAACCTGATGGCCTGCAGCTTGTAGGTTCACCTGTGGAGGCCTGAGCAGTAAGGCTAGGCCCAGCTCTTGTGCCTCCCTGCCATGGTGTGGCCTAGAGACTGGCCCAGGCAGCTCTGGTCACACTAGTTTGTGATTTCTCTGGTTCTTGGCCAGTGGAGGAGAGAGAAAATAGTTATTACACTTCACTGAAGCATGAAATCGCTTTCTTCCTTCACCAGATTATGCCTAAGCAGAAAGTTGATTTGAGGTGGGGGCAAGAGGGGATATAAACTTTTGAAAATTAAAAAGAAAACCTTGTGTGCCCTGTCCCACTTACTAGCAGGAAGAAGGCAGCACAGGTTTCTGGGGGTCAGGATGCTGGGGTACAGTTTGCTTTTGTTGTGGGGTCATTGTTTCTTGAGGTTTTAGCTGCCTGTCCTTGGACCCCATTGTCACAGTTCTGAGCTGGATATTGAGAGTGTTTTGGAAATCCCTCAAATTCAAACAAGCAGCAAACTTGTGTCTGATTGCATGGAGTGCTCTGTGTGGTCTGGTGTGTGATCTGGTGAGAGGGAGGCAGGAGATGTGCCCACTGGCCCCAGGTCCTTTAGTTGCCTGCCTCTGTTGCTTTGGTTAAGGCAGATGGGGTTAGTGCTGTAGTATAAGGAGTGTCCTGCTGTCTTCCCAGGTCACTCATTGGCTAGCAGACCTCACCTCTAAACCTTTATCAAGAGGGCTCTGGAGACCCTTGGGTTCAGAGAATGTGCCTACACAGAACACATGAGCGTCTATCTCAGGGTGAGGAGGGTTGTCTGGCCACTAGTGTAAAGAGCCCAGTTCAGAATGTGCCTGCTGGAAGCAGGTGGCAGTGAGGAACGCTGGCTAGATGTTCACAGGAATGTGCTTCAAGAGTCCCCAGTCCCCATGGCTAACCCTGCAGGAATCAGTCTCCTTGGCCAATGGAAGGCAGAGATTAGACTTCAGAACCCAGCCCACATGGGATCCTGGCCTTGGCCAGGGTAGCAACACTCTGCCTAAGTCTCAGCTGCTATGCACTTCGACTTTGGAGAGACACTTCCCAGAGGGTGCACTACTGTCAAGGGCTCACATTGCTTAGCACTGCCCTGACCAGTCACCCAGCCAAGTCAGGGACACCCTTGTCATATGCTTGTCACCGCTTGAGGCAACCGCAGCTCCAGCTTGCCCAGGGTTTCTTATCTTCAGGTCAGGGATAGGTAGTCCAGGACCGATCCAAGCAGAACAGACAGTTTCTGTAGAGCAGGGTGAGGCAGGGCCCTCTTGCCTGCATCCTCTTCAGAGGTGCAGGGAAGCCAGGCTTGGTTCCTTACTGCTGAGTGAAGGAGGGAAGGGAGGTGGGCACCGGGAGCTGAGGGTTGAAGGGGGAGATACCCAGAGGGCCTGTAGACAGGAATCTCCCTCTCACCAGTGTCTCTCCCCCTGCAGGTTAACACGCCATGTCAGTCAGCGTCCACGAGACTCGTAAGTCGCGGAGCAGCACAGGCTCTATGAACATCACACTCTTCCACAAGGCCTCACACCCTGACTGTGTGCTGGCCCATCTCAACACACTGCGTAAGCACTGCATGTTCACTGATGTCACACTATGGGCTGGTGACCGCGCCTTCCCCTGCCACCGGGCAGTGCTGGCTGCCTCCAGCCGCTACTTTGAGGCCATGTTCAGCCACGGCCTGCGGGAAAGCCGGGATGATACAGTCAACTTCCAGGACAACCTGCACCCTGAGGTGCTGGAGCTGCTGCTGGACTTCGCCTATTCCTCCCGAATCGTCATCAATGAGGAGAATGCAGAATCGCTGCTGGAGGCAGGTGACATGCTACAGTTCCATGACGTGAGGGACGCAGCTGCAGAGTTTCTGGAGAAGAACCTTTTCCCCTCCAACTGCCTGGGCATGATGTTGCTGTCTGATGCTCACCAGTGCCGCAGGCTCTATGAGTTCTCCTGGCGCATGTGCTTGGTACACTTTGAGACAGTTCGGCAGAGTGAGGATTTTAACAGCCTGTCCAAGGACACGCTGCTGGATCTCATCTCCAGTGATGAGCTGGAGACGGAGGATGAACGTGTGGTCTTTGAGGCTATCCTGCAGTGGGTGAAGCATGACCTGGAGCAGAGGAAGGCCCACCTACCAGAGCTCCTACGCAGCGTGCGGCTGGCCCTGCTGCCCTCTGACTGTCTGAAGGAGGCCGTGTCTGGCGAGGCCCTCCTCATGGCAGATGAACGTACCAAACTTATCATAGATGAAGCTCTCCACTGCAAGACCAAGATCTTGCAAAATGATGGGGTGGTCACCAGCCCCTGTGCCCGGCCTCGCAAGGCAGGTCACACTCTGCTCATACTGGGGGGTCAAACCTTCATGTGTGACAAGATCTACCAGGTAGACCATAAAGCCAAGGAGATCATCCCCAAAGCGGATCTGCCAAGCCCCCGGAAGGAGTTCAGCGCCTCAGCAATTGGCTGCAAGGTCTATGTGACCGGGGGCAGGGGCTCTGAGAATGGAGTCTCCAAGGATGTCTGGGTGTACGACACTGTCCATGAGGAATGGTCCAAGGCAGCACCCATGCTGATCGCCCGCTTTGGCCATGGCTCAGCTGAGCTGGAGAACTGTCTTTATGTAGTCGGGGGACATACATCCCTGGCAGGTGTCTTCCCAGCTTCCCCTTCTGTCTCCCTGAAGCAAGTGGAAAAATATGACCCTGGGGCTAACAAGTGGACCATGGTGGCCCCACTGAGGGATGGCGTCAGCAATGCTGCAGTGGTGAGCGCCAAGCTGAAACTCTTTGTGTTTGGAGGGACCAGCATCCACCGGGATATGGTGTCCAAAGTCCAGTGCTACAACCCTTCAGAGAACCGGTGGACGATTAAGGCTGAGTGTCCCCAGCCTTGGCGATACACAGCTGCTGCAGTCCTGGGCAGCCAAATCTTCATCATGGGAGGTGACACAGAGTTCACGGCAGCCTCAGCCTATCGCTTCGACTGTGAGACTAACCAGTGGACACGGATTGGGGACATGACTGCTAAACGCATGTCCTGCCATGCCCTGGCTTCGGGCAACAAACTGTATGTGGTAGGAGGCTATTTTGGGACCCAGAGGTGTAAGACCCTGGACTGCTATGATCCCACTTCAGACACATGGAACTGCATTACCACCGTGCCCTACTCGCTCATCCCCACAGCCTTTGTCAGCACCTGGAAGCACCTGCCTGCATGAGGAGCACCCCAGCCAGGTGAGCCTTCCAGAAGGGCATGGGAGCCCCTCTGGCTTGTCCCCATTATGGGTAGTGGCTGCCACATCTCCCAGGGAGGGTCAGTAAGCAGCAGGGTGATGGGACTTAAGGACGGGTTGAATCCTACCTCCTCTAGCACAGCTGTGAATTTGCCAGGGGAGGAGGGAACATCTACCTTCTGTGTGAGGTAGAGGGACGGCCTTCCTTAAAGCAGGCAGTCATCTGATTGAGGTGGCCCCTTGGGCTGTCGGAGCAGGGCTTATCATAGAACAGGTGCTCATGAGATGAACCCTGCTGGTACTCTGTTCATAGTACTGTGAGCGTGTGAAGTCATAGGAAAACAAGTGAACATAGCTTGGAGAGAGCCAGGTGACACATCAGGCGCAAAGGGATGGGGGCTACTGACTTAGGCCAGGTCTGGGGTGTCATAGAGGCTGGGTCAAATGTCAAGTATCAAGGCTAGGGGAGGACGCTGGGCCAGCTTAGCAAAGTGTTCTGGGAGGGGTTGGCATCTGTGGTGGGTTTGTAGGAGCCAGATGTTTTATGACCAGGGCCTGGAAAAAGCCAGCACATGTTAACTAGCCCTTGTCCCCTGTTCAAGTTCCAAAGTCTTCCTCCTGGGCCTTGTACATGGGATGCGGTATAGAGGATGGACCCCCATGGGCACAGGTGGGGTGGGGTGCTGGTCTACTGAGAGCAAGAAAAGAGGTGGTCTTGCAGGAGGAGCCTCCCTTCTTCCCCCAGCTGCCCTCTCCTTCCTCAAGTTCCTGTCTTGAATCTACATAGACCCCTTCAATTCAGGTCAAGAACCTAGTCAGGAAGCATCCTGAGGCTCAATGAATCTGTGGGTTCAGCTGCTGCTACTGTACAGGAAAGCAGTACTCCTGAGCTGGGCCTACATATAAACTGAGTTCAGGCTGAATGGATCCTGAGAACCTCCCAGGCTCTTAAAGGGCCCAGCAGATCTGTGAGTGTGCAGTGACTGGAGTGGCTGGGCTCCTAAGAGCAGCCGAGTAGGAACAGGACTTGACTTAGTTCTCTTTAGGGCCTTTGGGCCTGTTTTGTTTTCATCTGCTCTCTGGGTCCCAGAGTAGCAAGCTTCAAAAGGATATTGGCATTTCTTCACTAATTGCCAGTTCCTGCCACCGGACTTATGAGTGCTGGCCCATGTTAGCTGTGGGATAGAGTCATCTGTGGGGCCCAGGCTCCTCCACCCTATGCTACTGTTCACCTCTGGGAACCTGAATACAGTTCTTCCTTGAGAAGTGGCCTCAAGAAATGGGCAGGGTGCCCTGTCTGCCAAAGGCTTCTTCACCTGTCACTGCCCTGTGGGTGACACAGCTCAGCCGGACTTGGTCAAGCATCTTTCTTAGGAACTTCTGCACCGTGGAGGAAGCTTGAATTGCCTGTTGACTGTGACATCCTAGTTACTTGATCCTGGACAGGCTTAACTTTTTCGAGGCTCAGCTTTGTCTTCTGGAAAATAGGAAGAAGGAATGGAAATACAGTTCTTGACCAGAGATCCAATGAGGTGCTGAATTCAAAAATCCTCTTTTACAGGGGGAAGAAAGGGATGATAATGGCTCCTGGACATTCTGGGCTATGAGGGCCTCCCCGTGTCCCTCGTTTGTCCCCAGCGTTGTTGCTGTGCTGAGGACAGCTGCATGTGTCTGCCTCATCCTTTTTAGCCCACAGCAGGAAGTTGTCACTGGCCTCTTATAGGGATTAGGAAGTGAGCACAGGAGAATCTAATCGCACAAGACCCACCTAGTCCCAGATCCGGGTGGGAAGCCACTCCCAGACAGACCCTGAGTTCCTGTGCTGGAGTTCATGGGCTGCAGCAGCCACTGAAGCAGCATTTCCTCTACCCAGACCACCCTTCCTCTGGCCTCTGTCACTCGACTGAGGCTGGGTTGTTCTCACGCTCTGCAGGCTCCTTCTCTTGTTCAGCTTGCCTGCACAGTTCAGAGTCTCTGGACTCGCTTCAAAGAAGAGACTCACAACCCAGTAGCAGAGTAGGAAGCTGACATTCAAGGCAGGCCTGATACTCCCTGGGTCCTGGGAAGCCTCTCCACCCCTCAGCTCCCAGGGCATGTGGCTCCAACTCAGCTGCAGCCCAGAACCCATGGGGTGGGAGGTGGGGAACCCTAAATGGGAGGGGCCTGAGCATTGTGGCAAGTGTCAAGGCCAGAAAGGGCCAAAACACAACATGTTTGTTCCCTCCATGTGCATTCTTTACTTTGGGACACATAACCCCCAGTGACCATGGCCATGATCCATGAGCTGCCATCTGGGATGCCCAGCCTCATACCTTACCTAGACATGGCCTCTGTCCCTCTCTAACCCCAGCCCTGCTGGGTAGCATCCCCCACGTAGCAGGCAGGAGGTCCTTGTGAGAAGTGCCACTATCCCTGATCCCCAGGAGCCTCACCTGTGCCAGGTGTTCCATAGATTTTCTTTCCATCCTGACAGGCCCCCAGGTAGCTCCAGGGACCACCAGCAGCAGGTCCCTGCAGCCCTTGCTCAGTACCCCTGTGGCTCCCATGGGCCCCATGCCCGCTTTCCCCAGCCCAGACTCCTATTTTGAATCTTAATGGGATTCCCATTATAGTCATCGCCTTCTCTTTTTTTCTTTCCCACTGGGGCCTCTCAAAGCCACTTAAAGTCCAATCCCCCATATTCTTTCCTCCCAGATCCCCTCCCAACCCACCTCTGACCTGAAGGGTGTTATAACAGGATGGCACGGCAGGTGCACTCACCAGGCATGGAGAGCTTGTCTCCTCATAGGCCCTGAGGTCCTGCCACTGGATTTGGGGCAGGGGCAGCTCTGGGAAAGGTCAAAGTCACCAGACCCTGTGGGGCTCAGTCACTGCTGCAGACACACCTGGCCCACTTTGTCCTGCTTCAAAATTATTACAAAGAAAAACCCAGAGCCAGGACTGGTTTCCTCCAGCTCTGGGGGACAGAATAGCTGGCAGGAGATTGCTTTCGGGATGTCCTTCACGTGGCAGTGGTCCCTCATGCCTGTGTGAGACCCGGGAATAGAGTGACACCACAGGCAGGCCCTACACCAGCCACCTTCAGGAGGGGTCTTTGCCAGGGCCTGTCATGCACAGGCAGTGCAGACAACCACTGACCTCATATCCATTCCAGCTAGAAGACTGCATTTTCACAGATGAGGAAATCAGGCTATGGAGAAGAGGCTTCCAGAATTCAGGGTTACAGACTAAGACCTTGGGGTGAGGTGGAAGACAGTTACTCATCTAGACCCAACACAGGAGCCAGGCAGGATGACTCCCAGCACCATCTGCTCATAGGCCCCTTTCACCCAAGCTCTGAAGGACTCATACCTGCATGTAGGGGACTAGGCTGGGCCCTGGCATGCACATTGGCATCTCTGTGGCAACCATGTGGCAGCCACTGGGAAGTTCAGATTGACCATCTCAGTGCATCTTAGAATGGTTAGGGGCCTCAGGATCCAGCTTCTCACTTGTGTGGAGAGGAGTTTGGAGGCCCCAGGACCCAGCTGTGAAACCACCCTACCCCACTATGTCAGGTGTCATGAAGTTTCAGGACCCCTGGGGAATTCCTGTGGTTAGCCTCCAAGAATTGCAGCAGTGGTAAGGGGGCATTCCATTTAAGGAAAACTGTTCCACAGAGCCCCAGTCCTGGCTGATGTGTTTTTGCTCTAATGTTTTGTAAATATGTAGACAACTAAAGAAAAGTTCCTTCAACTGTAGTCTCATTTAGTTACACAGCTCATGCCAGTGCACAGGTTAAATAGTGCTAACCCTACAGGCCTGCTGGGGTTGGTGACGGTTCAGCAGGCTGTGCCTTTGCCTCCTGCTGGACCTGGATGAGGATTCAGTTCACCCCAGAGCCTGTGAGCCCATGAATGCTTCTAGTCATTCACAGTGACGGGGCAGGGTCTAGTCTTCCCTTCTGTAAGTGTGCCTCCTTAGGCCATCTTGGAGCTTGGGGCACATCCATCACTGACCTCAGGCACCAAAACTGTGTGGACCTCAGGGGCTCCAGGAAAGGCCTGAGGAAGACACCCAGTTCCTCTCTTCCTCCCCCTTACTTCCCTAAGATCACTGACCTCCCACCCAGGCCTACCCAGCCAGCCCTGCCCTGTCCTGTGGGGTGTCCAAACTGGAGTAGCTCAGGAGCTGCAGTGTGGCCGCCATCCCTTCCTAGTCTTGTACAATGGGCCACCTTCCTCTTGGGGCTGGCCTGGGGCTGTGCTGGGTTGCCTGCCACTGTGGCTCAGCTGCAGCAGTAATTCCCACCAGCAAGTAAATAGGTATTTCTTCTTTGCTTCAGGAACATTCTCCACGAAGCCTTCAGCAAGGAAGGGTCTGATTCCTGGGCTCCTCTCTAAGTGGGTAGACAGTCACCGTCCTCGTTTGCAGGACAACCACTGGTGCTCAGTGATTGAGAAAATGCAGCAGGGATGTGAGCTTCATGACCATGAGGACAGCCCCTCCTCCTTCAGTACTGCATCCGCCTAGTCTCTCTTACAGCCTGGCATGCAGAGAGGTTGTGGTGAATATTTGTCCAGGTCACAAATGAGTATGCCTGCTGCTTTCCACAGCCTGCCGCTTGTCCTCAACACCCCTGCCTTCGTCCCCCCAGCTCACACACCTTGTCTGCCTCTGCCTCACTGGCTCACTTTTGTTTACAATTTTTTTTTTTTTTAATCTTTTTGAGACAGGGTCTTCCTATAGCCCCAACTGGCCTGGAACTTACTATGGAGACTAGGCTGGTCTTGAACTCACAGAGATCCTCCTGCATCTGTCTCCCAAGTGCTGGGACTAAAGGTGTGCGCTACCACACCCAGATTTTATTATATATATATATATATTTTTTTAAATTTATTATTTTTATTTTATGTGTATGAGTGTATTGCCAGCGTGTATGTGAGTACAAGCGTGTCATGCAGTGCCACAGAGGTTAGAAGAGGGCATCAGATTCCCCTGGAACTGGAGTTAAGGATGGTTTGTAGCCTCCATGTGGGTGCTGGGAATCGAACCAGGGTCCTCTGCAAGAGCAGTCAGTGCTTTTAACCACTGGGCCATCTCTCCGGCTCTTGTTTACATTCTTACCTCAGCGCTTTGTGTTCTTCTGTGTGGACAGGTGGTCCCCTCTAGTTAACTCCTGTCTTTTTATTAATTCTCATTCCCACACTGTCTACCAAAGTAAAGTAAAGCTCCTGCTTCTAATCTCAATTATAAAGTTAGTTTTTATTTGTAGGTCTTCTCAGTATAACATACACTCTGTAATTGTGTAAGTCTGCAGCTTCTCAGGGGAAGACAGCACCGGGGATAGTAGCTGTATTTGCCCTGCCATGTCATGTCCCCAGGGTCTCCTGTGTGAGGGAGCACCAGTGGCAGTTGAGCTGTGGGACACAGTAGCTCAGGTTCCCGAACTGCGGAGGGCCACACTGGTGGGTGGACAAAGGAGCTGGATCCTGCCCCCAGCCCTGGAGGAGCCTCTTGATTTTGTCATTTTGTTCTAGCTAGGACAGAGTGCTGTAGCCACCAATCCTCACATCCTCTTCCTCTCTCTCATCCACAGACTTTGCATTGTCCTCCCCACTGGATCCAGAAGCCAACAGCACCAGCTCTGGGCAGCAGCAGCCTCGGGCTTTTCTGAGCTTTAGGCAAGAAAAGTGAAGGTCTCCAGCGGCACCCGTGCCCAGGCTTCCTAAGCTGCCAGTGGCTTTCATGTGGAAAGGAGCTTCCAAAGGGCATGGGCTATTGCCAGGACCCCTGGACTAGGGGGAGGACATGCATGTAGAGCCTTGAGGTTACCTCTGGCAGCCAGACCTGAGTCGGGGGCTAGCAGGGGAACAGCAGAGGTCCCTCATCACCGAAGCACAGCCTTGGCAAGGCTGCCTGTGGGAGGTGGGAGTATCACTCTACAATGTCCTCAATCTCCAGGAGCAGAGTCCAACAAACCTCAGGGTGCACCCACAGGTTTCTACCCACAGCAGATGCCACTGAGACTCCTAATGCCAAGGGGGAAGTCTCTCATGGGCCCTCTGCCGAGCACTGGCCCATCCCTTGAAGGGGTGACTCCCAGGATACTACTCCAGGTGTGCAACAGATGCTCATGACCAGTCAGGCAGGAACAGGGGTCACTCAGCAGGACTTCAGGCCCCAGAGAGCTGGTAGGCACAACCCTGTTGCCTGTCTTTGGAGCCACAGGAAGAGCAGTGATGACCCATCTCCAACGGGTCACACCTGCCAATTGCATGGGGCTCCTTTCCAGGAGACCTCACCTGCCATAAGCTTGTGCCCTGCCTCCCGAGTTGAGGAGCAGGTGGGTATATGGCAGAGACCCAGTGCTCACTGCAGTTCCCATCCACATTGGTGGATTTGTGTCAGGTGGACAGAGACAAGGCTCTTGCCACACCTGCTGTCCTCCCTGACATTGGCCTTCAGCTGGCAGCACTGGATCCTGCCCAGTTTTCCCTTGAGCTCAGAGAAAAGGGTCTGAAGAGACTACCTAAACATTTGCTCCTCAGTCACTGCCCAAAGCTTTGAGGAGTCCTTATCTATGTTGCTAGCACCAGGTTTGTGGACTGTGAGGCCCCAGGCTCCTCCATTGGTCACACTGTTGAGGGGACAGCCCTTGGTGTGTGGCACAGAATAGACAGGGCACCCTAACCTGTGGCTTGCCCAGGCCACTTGCATGTGCTGGCTGCATCAGGATTGGGGCTCCAAAGTGGGCTCCACCATTGGTAGCACAGTGTGCCCACACCTCAACCTGGTATTGGTGCAGTGTGTGCCTTCTGGGGAGGGGCTTTCAGTCTCGGCTTCCCCCATAACTGTGCTCTGGGGAAGACCTTCCTAGTGCTCCTTAAGGGCCACAGATGGCCCTCATTAGAGGCCCAGCTTGCTCTCTGCTCCACCTCAGGGGATGCCCTGCTAGAGACCTTAAGGCCCTGTGGACTACTCCTTCGGGATTAAGCACACTTCTCACAGCACAAAGGACCCAGCCATGGTGCTTGCCTGAGTGTTGTGCTGCTTTATCCATTTTCTAACTTAATAAAGATTTGAGAAAATTCTTGGCCTTCTTTGGGTGACTTGGCCATGTGTGTTCCTAAACCCAGAGTCTGCCTGTTCATTGCAGAGGGTCCACCAGAAGAGAGGTCTTTCCTCCCAAGAGTCATTCTATCTTAAGGCCCCTGTGTGGTGGGTGATTCCAAGTTGAAAACAGTCCCATCCATTCAATAGGCAAGAGGTTTGTGCACTCCAGGCCCCAGGGGATACTCTAAGGACAGGAGGTTGGGTCATAGCCACAACTCCACAGGGCATCTGGTTCTGGTGAGATACCCTGGAATGCCCTGTGGGTTGCTGTCCCTCACTTTTCAGCAGCCTCTGTGACTACAAATGCAGGAGAACCTACAACTGAGATGTAGCTGCATGGTGTTGGTGGTCTAACCTGGAGGCCTCAAGCAGCACAGCCCAAGGTGATACCAGGGCCCTAGACCTCATGCCACACCATGTGCTGGATGCCCTGAGTGCACCAAGCCTCGGTGACCGCCCTTTACTGTCATCTTCAGTGGCACTCAGCAGCAGGTACTCACTCCCAGTGGGAAGTGCACCAGACACCAAGTGAAGGATTGTTACCTTGCTGAGTGGGATGATGGTAGTAGAGTGACGTTTCCATTCAGGCTGGGGCCTCTGGGTAGATAGCTGTAGGGCCCAAAGTAGTGAGGTCGGGGGGATTTCCATGCACTCCTGGTGTGGGTAAGCAGGTATTTCCTTGCCTTTCCAACTTCCATGCAAGGTTGTTTACTGGTCCAACAGGTCTCTCCTGCTCCAGCTGGCCTGGAACTCTATGGTAGACCACCAGCTGAACTCTGTATGGTAGACCAGGTTGGCCTTGAACTCACAGAGAACCACCTGCCTCTGCCTCCTGAGTGCTGGGATTAAAGTTTGAGCTACCACACCTGGCTCCTACTATTCCTCTTAAAAGTTGAATTTAGCCTCACCGAATGTAGCTTCTGGGGAGGCTGGACAGTGCTCAGCTAAAGTCCTTTCCCTTCTCAGGGACTCCAAGAGGGGTGCATTCTTGACCTTTTCCTGCTGGCAGAGAACCAGGCTCAGAGGCTAAAATGACCCACCTAGGACCCACTGCCCCTGTATACTGCTGCACCTCCTAAAAGACCCCTCCTCAACACCTTAGGGGTATCCTCCTGGGGAAGAAAAGGCTGTTTAAGAGGCATTTAAGGGGGAGTTGGAGAGATGACTTAGCTGGTTAAGAGAACTGACTGTTCTTGCAGAGGACCTAGGTTCAGTTCCCAGTACCCACATGGCGGCTAACAACCACCTGTAACTCCAGTTACAAAGGATCTGATGCCCTCTTCTGACTTCTGTGGTGCATTTAAGTACATGCAGGCCAAACACCCATACACATACAATCTGGGGAAAGCTAGGAAGAGAAGGCATGACCCATGCTGGGTAAAGGCTTTCCAGTGTGCATACCCTCAGGTCATAAATACACCTCAGCAACCCCTCAGTTATCTCAGTAAGTAAGCTCAATAAATTCACTGGTTCCCCAGTAAAACTTTAGCCAAACATTGGCTTGACACTAGAACTTTAAAAGGGAATAAGCTAGCACATGCCTTTAATCCCAGTAGTCGGGAGGCAGAGGCAGGTGGATCTCTGTGAGTTCAAGGCCAGCGCGGTCTACATAGTGAGTTCTAGGACACTGGGGCTACAGGGAGACCCTGTCTCAAAAAAAAAAAAAAAAAAAAAAAGGAATAAGCATTGCTTAGCATCCCCAGGAAAAGAAGTCTCACAACAGATGGAACATTTATTTGTTAATGCTATTATGTCTCATAATTATTTTTTAGAAAATGAGAATGTAAAAGATGTTAAAATGATATGGGAATGGAGATATTTTCCAAAATAGAAAAAAGGAAATGATGGAGGTCTGTTTAGGTTTGTTATGATATATAAAGGATGAGACAAAAATAATATACAGATAATCTTTAAATTTCTATGGTCATAGTTTAGTCAACCAGTTTAAGGAACAAAATATATATCTTGTCAAGGTTTATCTGAGAATATTTGAATTTAGTTTTTTACCCAAGCCTTATCTACATAGCACATGATAATTAAAAGTACCAGCCTGGTGGAACTAACCTTATCGATGTTTAATAGCCATAGTTTGAGGCCTATACTAATGTGGTCAGAGGGACCTAAAGGACAGTTTTTGCCCCTTGTCCTTCAAGGTCAACTAAATTTCAGGGGACTATGGAACATCTCTTAAAATGTCCTGTAACTGTGGTGAGTCATCTGTCCTCTTGGTCAGGGAGGACATGGAGAACCCACAATATGGACTTGAACCAGTGTCCAGTCTACAAAGAGGAGGGTCAACTCAGAGGAAACATCTCATTCATGCCTCCAAGTGAAGCCAGACATGGTTGAGTAGGACCTTTGACTTATCTTCACATAAATGGAGCTGGTAAAGGAAAGGAACCAGGAGCTCCTCCCAAGCCCATGTGACCCCTGAGGAACAGATCCTCAAATGACCTTAAGGATAAAAATAAATTGATTTATTTGGGCCAACTGTATGGTCTTAAACACCCAAAAGGAAAGTATAACCAAAGAGTAAAGTCATCAGTATATTTCTTTAAGAGTTCAAGGGATTACACATCCCAGACATTAGGCTTAAGTCTATATAAAAAGTTATTTAGACAATTATTTCTCATTGATGATTTTGTTCCTAACCAGAAAGTGCTGCTCAGATGTAAGACGTCACATCTTGGTCTCCCATACTGTACTGCACACCTGTAGCTAAGGGAGACAACCAGCTATTGTTTTTAAAATGATGGCTAAATTTGTTTTCTCCCCCTATCTAGAAGCCTTTGAGAGGGAACTGACACTGATTCTAACCACTCCAACAGCTATCAAAATAACTGAAAGCAAATCCTGAATCCATCACTCTAGAGTAGACCTTGGTAGATCAAAGAAAAATGAGGAGGCATCCAATAGAGGGATGTTTTTGGAAGCCCTTGTCAAGAAATTCCAGTGGACTCTCATATGAACATTTGAAAATTGCCCTGTTCTGACTTTTTTCTAGTTCCCTATCTAGAACTTGTAATGCTACTTACTCTTGCCTTTCAGTCCTATTCAGGATTCAAGGACTTTCTTTTCCCCTTAGAGATAAGAGTTATGCAATTCGGGAGTCTTTTTGATAGACCCCCTGAAGACATACTCCAATTGCCTCACCCTGCGTCCCTGTTTAGAATGGAAGAAGGCAGAGCGGTCTGCATCCCGATTCCCTATTGGCAATTTGGGTAACCCCTTCAGAGGATGGTGTGATAAGAATAGGAGGTAGGAATTGGCTAGGCAGTTAGGGTAAAAAGACCCCAAAGAAAAGTGCTTAGAGCTTATTACGCTGTTAAGAATTTGATAACCTACTCTGTTCCAAAGGCCAAAAATGTTGAAAATATTAGGGAGCTTTTATCTAATTCTTAAAAGATTTTAGGGTTACCTCTTCAGAGGGGGGAATGTTAGAGTAGCCAGAAACCCCACAAAAAAATAATGAAGAAGAAAGAGTACATGAAGTTATCAGAAAAAAAGTGATGCGGAGATATGGGAGGAGTTGGAGGGGAGGGAGTGGGTATGGATTTGATCAAAACACCTTGTATGCATGTATGAAATTCTCAATAAATTATTTTTTTTAAAAAAGCAATTGTGTGTGGTGGTGGTGGGATCATTTGATAAAGTGTGTAGTTTGTAGGAAGTCCTAGATTCAGTGATGCCCAATCCCCAGCCAGCACTGCATTAAAAACCTGGTACAGTGCTTTCTTACTCCTGTAATCTGCAGGAGAGTCAGATCAAGGTCATCTTCAGCTATATAGTGTGTTTCAGGCCAGCCTGGACTACATGAGACCCTGTCTGAAAGCAAAAAACAAAAAGAAGAACCAATGGTCTGGAATTTCAAGCAGGAGGGTGGCATGAATTCAAGGCCAACCTAGGCTACATAATGAGTTCCTGGCCAGCCTGGTCTGCAGTGTGAAACATTGCTCAAACTAAAAACAAAAGAGCAAGTCCTTTTAGCCAATGTAGCTGTCAAGAGTCTTTTGTTGTTACTGGTCATTCCTGAGTGTATAGAGGACCAAGAGGCTCCCAGGTTTCATCACAAAGCCCTACGAAGGCCTTCAGCTTGTTTACTGGCGGGTGGGCTTCCCAAGACCAGCAGGGTCAGCCCTACCTCACTTCATTTTCCAGGCCACAGCACCCTTCAGAGTTCAGGTGCTGCCTAGGGAGCCAAGGGGCTAGTTGAGGCAAGGATCCTAGAACTTGTGCCCTGGAAAAGTGGTAGCCAAGCCAGGGAACTTTGCAGCAGAAACCACCCCACTGGGCTCTTCCTGGTTCCTTCAGAGGAAAGGCTGAGACACCTCAGGCTCAAGCCTCCAGGTAGGGGGGCAAATATCTTGCTCATTTGTGACGCAGTACTGATGCAGTGTTACTGGGTGGCCTTTGCTAGTTCTTGGCCATGCTTTATGCCCTTAAACACACTCTGGAGAACCACAGGTGGAGGTGGGAAACTGCTTAGCATGCCTGAGGCTCCTGGTTCTATCCTCAGCACCAAACCATAACTAAAGAACAAGCATTCCCCCTGAGGTATGCACAGGACTCGCCAGCTGGTCAGAGGGGGACAGGGAGCTAAATGCTAGGAAACCATTTCCTGTCCAACTGGATGGCACAGGGTCTGCCTACAGGATTCCTGCTGAGTCTGTATTGTTTAACCTGTGTGACCGAACATCTTTGCACAAATCATAGATTCCTTTTTGCACCAGTGCTTTGGAATCTTTTATATCTCAGTTGGGATGTGGGGGTCAAAGTGCACTGTAGTGTGACAGGCTGTGACTGAGAGGGCAAGGCCTTCAACAGACGAAACTGACCTTGGAGCCAGCTGGCATCACAATCTCCAGTTGCTCAGCTGTGGGTGGGAAGCCTTCTGTCTCTGGAAGAAGGTAGCTCCCCTCATGCTCCTGTTTGTTAAATGGCTTCACTAAGAAAACCTGGATTTCAGGACTGGGGACACAGCTCAGTCTGTAAGTGCCTGCTTCACAAGCATGAGGACCTGAGTTCAGATTTCCAAAACACACATCAGAAGCTAGGCACGGCAGCACGTTTGTGAACCCCCGGCCCTGGATAGATCGCTGGACCTCACTAACCAAATTAGTGAGCTTTGGGTTCAACAAGAAACCCAGTCTCAAAATATAAGGGGAAGGGGCTGGAGAGATGGTTCAGTGGTTAAGAGCACTGGCTGCTTTTGCAGAGGACCAGGGTTCGGTTTCCAGTACCCACATGGCGGCTGACAACCATCTCCCATTCCAGTTCCAGAGGATCCAACACCATCTTCTGACCTCCATGGACACTGCACACACATGGTACATTTACATACATGTAGGCGTAGGCAAAACACTCATACAAAATAAGAAAAAAATTTAAATGAATAAAAAATAAGGTGGAGAGACTGGGTGTGTTGGTACATACCTTTACTCTCAGGACTTGGGAGGCAGAAGTAGGAGGATCTCTGTGAGTTTGAGGCCAGCCTGGTCTACATAATGAGTTACAGGCCAGCCAGAGCTAAATAGTAAGACCTTATCTCAAAAAACAAACATTAAAAAAATAAGGTGGAGAGTACTGAAGAAGACACACAGTGTCAACCTCTGTCTCCATATGCATGTGCACACAACACCCAGGAACAAACACAAAGAAAACGTAGATTTGTTCACTTAAAAACTGAAGTGGAGGGGCTGGAGAGATAGCTCAGTGCTTACTGCTCCTGCAGAGGACCCAGGTTTGATTCCCAGCACCCACAGGTAACAACCACCTGTAACTGTAGTTCCAGGGGATTGGGCACCATCTTCTGGCCTCCATGTGTATTGCATGACATAGGTGCACTTACACATGCAGGCAAAACACACACACAAAACCGGAAAACAACAAAAAAACCCGTAAACCAAGGAACTGAAGTGGAGCTGGGCATGGTGGCACAGGCCTGTAATCCCAATTACAGGGATAAGAGGGTCGGGAGTTCAAAGTCAGCCTGAACTACATGAGACCCCTAGGTTGTAAAACCAAACAGAAACAAACCTGAAATGGATTTGGAAGAGGTCTGGAAAAGGAGTCTAGTGGGCTGTGTGGAAGATGTTGGGCAGGCCAGCACCCTGGGAACCGCTGAGAAGGACTTTTCCCGCTCACGAAGCTCTGCCTCCAGGTCTGATGATCTCATTGCTGTCTGCTCACTCTGGCACACTGGCTTTCAACACAGGAAT